CATAGCGAATTAAGGTAAAGTCGGTATTCGACATCGACGACAACCCAGAAGACAGCCATCTTCAGAATTCATTTTATAAAACATTTAAAATAATTTGGCTTAAGTCACTTTTGTTATTGTTTTTGTTGCATTGTTTGTAGGAGGCAGCGAAAGGATTGTTTTATGATTTTTTTTAAAAAAAATTATTTAGTCCGATGTACGCATAGATTAATAGCTAAGACCGAATATTACTAAATAATGATTTTGGAACGACGATGCTGGCCTGCTAATATTTGTTTGGAGGGGCTGAGAAATACGATCATGAAACTCAAAGTCAGGATGAATGGTATCCAGACCGGAACTCGATACTGTAATCTCTGAAATTTCTGAAAAAAGATCATCGTGCCTTTCCGTGGCGCAGTGCACAGACTATCGTAAAAACTGTTCTGTCTGCAATTCTGATTGTCTCGTGTTTATTTCACGATAATCAGAGACAAAATTTAGTGTTGCCCAGAAACTGAACTTGCCGTTGAACTGGGCAGAAAAAGATAATACCTTCGGAGGAGATTCTTATATATAGAGTTAAAAATTTAAATTTAATTTGCTTATTATTTATGTCTACGATTATGTACTCAAGAAGGAAGAGACTAGGTTGAGGTACGTAGTACCCATAGGGGAGAATACAAACGAGTACAAAATGTTGATTGGGAGGCATGAAGGAAAGGGATAACTTGATAAACCTAGACGTAAATGGGAGGATAATGTAAAGAGGATCTTACGGATATAGGATTTGAGGGTGTTTAATAGATTCATCTGGATCGTGACATGGGCACCTTGCGGGTTATTTTAAATATCGTAATGAACTTTTGGGTTTTATAAACAGCGGGGAATTTCATGAACACCTGAGTTTTATTATTTTATTTAGTGTTCTGTCTGACGACAGGTCCATATGAACAGGATCCTTCCATCCTTTTCTCGGACTGGGACCTGTTCATATACGTTCTTGGCAGATGATCCAGAAGTGGTTTGACATTGCCTTCTTCTGTGTGTGAATGAAGTAATTGTTGGGATGCCACGGAGAAAAACTCCGTGTTGCCTAGACCACCACAAGTTATAAATTCGAACCCGAGACCCCAGGATTACAA